AGACTAATAATATGCAAAAAGTATACAAATTCACTTACTTCTACTTTCAGGCATTGTTACAGCACATTTAGTCTTTTGGTATTTTACTCCAAGTGTCTCTAATATACTCCCATAAAGTTTCTTTGGAAGTAACTTTTAATTTGTCAAATTTTTGATCTATCAACTCCCAGATCTGCTCAATTGGGTTGAGATCGAGGCTCTGTGGGGGTCATTGGATCATTTGAATGACTCCAGCAGCTTCTTTCTTACCTAAGTAATTTCTGCATAGGTTGGATGAGTGTTTGGGGTCATTATGTTTTTGGTAGTAGAATCCTTTACCAATAATACGCAAACCACTGGGTATACCCTGATGAATCAGTATCTGATGGTACTTGCGCTGGTCCAATATTCCATCTATTTGGCAAATATCTCCTGTTGCTTCAGCAGAAAAACACACCCAAACCATCACACTGCCTCCCCCATGCTTCATGATATGTGCTATGCATTGAGGTAAGCAACTTTCAGCTTTCTTCTGCCGGATGTAAAACCTACGTTTTGAACCAAATATTTCAAACTTGGACTCATCCATCCATAACACCCTTTTCCAATCATCGACAGTCCAGTTTTTGTACTTCTTAGCAAATTTAAGTCTCTTGATACTATTTGGAGATTGAAGTAAAGGTTTTTTAACTGCTACACGACCAAATATTCCATTCTCGTTGAGCCTTCTTGATACTGTACATCTGGACACTTTTCTGTCATTCGGTACATGGTCATTTATCTCATGTTTGAGATCAGTGACAGTCTTCCTTCTGTACCAAAGGCTGCATAAACGAAGATACTTAACATCAGAATCATTGAGTTTAAGTGTTCTGCCTCTTCCTTTCCTATTTTCAAATTTACCTGTCTCAGTCTTACGATCTAGGATGTACTTGACAGTGTTTGGGTATCATTTCAAGTCTGCAACAATTTGTTTGAGAGTCCAACCAGCATCAAGTAAAGTTTTTATGAAAACTTTCTGCTCTACTGACAATTCTCTACGTTTTTGGGCCATAGCATGACAACAAAACTTAATATATAGTGTTAAACATTGTTTTTATCAAGGTTTATTTGTGGAGTGCTATTATATTGATTTCTTCTACCATATACCGGTACCATACGCCAGCTCCTTGCTAACTTCTTTCTATATAGTTAAGACATTGCATAGGGTCTCATGACAGTTATTTCAGACCCTAAACTTGATCAATATGTTCATTGAAGCAGAAACATTATGACATGCCCTTGGTACAAGTATATGGGAATTCTAACGAACGATGAGTATTCTTACTCTGGCTCATTCAATTGCCATCAGTGAAGCATTATCATAGTGTTGTAATGGCATGGAAGAAATACTCATTAAATGGAAAGAATGACAAAATATTCTCTCGACTTAACTCTTTTGCACAGTACTGTATAATATGAGTCTGTTTAGTAAGTAACCAATATATACATATTGTATTAACTGAAATTATATATATCACTAAACTGTATGTACTGAATATAAACAATGCATCAGTTGCATAAAAATATTACCTGGATAAAAGTACCACTGGTATTTTTTAAAAATATTTTATACAAAAGTTTAAGAGAACCCAAATCACAGCGTGTTTCTAGGTTCTCTTTGCTATAATGTTATTGGAAACTTTGAATGTTTGAATATGTTGCCTTTTTTATCAAATAGCCGAAGTCAGAAGATTCAAAATTAATATAATAAAAATTTTAGCAATCTCAAATATAAAAGTAACTTGCATCAATAATTGAATTTTAAATTTTTAGCAGTATATTTCTACTTGAATGGACATTAAATGTTTAAAAAACAAGCATTTTTGGAAGGTACATTTTTCTATATATATATCATGAATTATTCACATAAATTTTTATTTATATTACAACTAGCATTACTTGAATTTATTTCATCTTAAAAATGACAAGCACATTAACATTAATACTTTTTATAACTTACATCTCTTTGTTACACATTTAGACCTGTTTTCATTACTACTAAGTTTCAATCACCAGTAGAAAGAAATTAATAGTGAAAACATAACATTTTGGGAAATTATACATATCATGAACCAGTAATTCGCTCAAAACTGTAATAAAACATTCAGGCAAAAAAACACCTTAAAAAGGAGATTTATTCTTCAAATAACACCCAAAACCTTCCTTTTCAACAGTTAAGACCACTCAAACATTGATAATAAGCAAAATAAGGGATTTCACAATTATAGACAAAATCAACATTTGCCCATTTGTTCATATTATTATCAACATTCACATTTCACAAGCCTACAGCAAAACTGGCTGGGTGTTTTGCATTAAAATCTAGACAGGTATACTACACGAAATGCTGCAAATGTCCATGACCCATGACCTAAAGTTTATTATTTTTTACTGAAACTTGATTTATGTGGTTATAAATACATAATTTGTTAAATGTGTGTTTACACAAAACCTCAAGCACAAAGCCACCTGGCTCAGAAAATAATTACTTTAAAACACACGAAGCTTTATTTAAAGCAATGTTGTTGAAATATTTGTTTTATTTGAAAATGCTGCTTTTCTACTGTTAAAATGTTATACTTGCTTAGAGTGCATTAACAAAACCAACATACAAGATAATTAAAAATTGAGAATTTAAAATCTACAAATAGGGATCTTAAAAAAAAGTAAGCAAACAAGGCTGGATATCAACTGCTCAGAGATGAAAGTGTCCCTTTCCTAAAAATCCTGAAAATAATCGAAGCCAAGTAAGGGGGGTCCG